AAGCGGATTAAGGCGTAAGTAATATCGATAAAAAAATTGTTAAAAACCATTTTTCGGCTGCCGGGTCGGTTGGCTAAATAACGAGCAAATATTTCATTAGTCAGAGCAATTGCCAGACCAAACAAGGTCAGTACCAATCACTTGTATTTATCAACCACAGCGGAACCCAGCATTTGTTGACCGATACCAGACATAAATATTTCCGACAAGAAAATATTGAGAAATACTTGTCAAATACAAATTACAGCAAAAAGGAGATTGCCATTTTTAAGGATAAAGATTATTTTTTTGCTTCTTTTTTTATCTTTTCTCTCTTTTACTAAATCTATTTTAAATAAATTGACATCGGAGTAAAGGGCAGAGATATAGTTAAGAAAAAAAGAGAATCCTAGCAGCAAAAGAAAGACAGCAACAAGAGAAAGGGATAAGAGGTCACTAATTTGCATGAGTAAATTCTTGGAGTATTTTTTTCAGATTATTCATGGTTTCTAACTCTTTGTCGAGAAGGAAAACAAGGTGGGGGATATAGGCAAATTTTTTGCTTTTCGCAATTTCTTTTTTTAGCAAAGAGGAATATTTTTCATTCATTAATCGAAGGATTTCGGCTTGATTTTCGGGTCGAGCAAAAGATAAATAAATTTTTACATGCTCGCCTCGAGCGCTTGTTTCGCAATAACTCAAAGAACAAGAAGGCAGGTTATATTCCTGGACTATTTGATACAAAAGACGACTTATCTCTCGCTCATAGAAACTTTTTTTTGTTTGTCGAACCCAATTTCTTGGATTTTGTTTTCTGGGCTGAATAGTTTTTATATTCATAAAACCTACGTTGAGGAGGTGACTTTTTTTAGCAATTTTATTAATGCCGTGTGTGTGTGTGTCATGTCATATTAATGCTTTGTGACTATTCACTAATCTTCGCTCCAGAATTTTTTTTAGTCAAAAGGCGTGCAATCTCCCTTTTTAATTCTTTTATTTGGTGAGTTTTGGCTAATTGCCCCATTTTATTTTGAATGCGGAGAACCGTCAGGGTCGCATGATACTGGGCTAGCAATTCCTCTTTTGACAATGGCTTTTTTGCTTTTGCTTCTTTATCTTTATTCATTTTAATATTTTTATTTTAATGCTTCGTAAAATATCAGGTCTATTTTGGCCTTATCAGGAAAAGTATCCATGCTTATTTTTCAACAACTTTATATTTGCCTGGTAATTTATGGCCGGCTTGGATAAGTGCTGAGTAGGCGATATCTCGGGGAACCTTGTCACTTAATTCCAAAATTATTGTTTTCTGCCTAGTTGGCGCTACTCAATTTTCAGTTGAACCTTTACCAGAACCCATTCGCACTTCCAATGGTTTTTTAGTTTTGGGAAAATGAGGATAGATATTAAATTTTCAAGGCTTATTTTTGCCGTCAGCATATTTTTTAGTATAACCACTAACCACTTTACGAATGGCCTCAAGTTGTTTTTCGGTTAGTTCTGCTCCTTGCTGAGTCTGTAAACCTCATTTGCCCCAAGTTATTTTTTGGTTGCCTCTGGCTGGGCCTTCGTATTTTACGAGATGATAATAACGATGTTTAGTTTTTTTTGGTATGGACATGATTTCTATTTCTTTTTTGTCAGATTTTTCCTTTGTAAAGTATTATTTTGATGCTCACAGTACCTCGACTCAAAACGGCCACTTGAGAGCCCATCTCTAC